TTTGTTTTGTGTACTTTTGTTTACCATTCACGTACGGTAGTCAAAAAGTTTCCTCTAACAGTCATTGATAAACGGTAGGTTTGCTGTTTTCTGCTGTTATAATCTCAGACGTAGATCTAAAGGTAGATGGAGGTGCTGGATGCAGAATCTGGACATCAACACCTGCAGGATGTGCAAACAGCCCCTGCCCCCCCTAAAGGTGTTGGCAGCTCCTTTCAGCAGCCGTCCATCTTCCCCGTGGCAGACTTTTGTTTCTCGCCCTGCCAAGACATTCTCCCGGGCTTTTGGTGCAGCAACGAAAGGAGTGCGATTCTGCCCACTTTCATGTGAAACGCCCCGTGATCTGAAACTTTATCCACGCACATGGAGAGCGGCTGCGATGGCAGGGGTTCAAAAGAGGGAGAAAACTATCAGATGGCTCCAGAACAAGAAGCAGTCGAGCTTCCTGTGGTTAAAGGATTGTGTCTGTGTGAGTGAAGGGATAGTCTAGTCCACTGGTCTTTGGTTCAGATTCTGCGAGGTCTGCCTAAAGGTCCAGAATTTAAAAGTTTAAAATCTCTTTTTGTGAAGGCCCTGTTAGTTTTCGTCATTCACCGTGTTGTTTTTTTCAGGCCTGTACCTGCCACGGACCCCGAGTCAGACCAGGGAATTACCGTAAATGCAAGAAAAGATGCACCACCTACAATTACCAATGATTGTAAAGCGTAGAAATGCCACGCGCAAATTACGGTAAATTGTAGAAATGTTCTGCCGCGTAAAACGAATTTCCGTAAACTGTAGAAAAACCATGGCACACAAAATGTAACGTGTATTGTACAAAATCTGCACCACTTGGAACAGATTACCGTAAACTGTAGAAAAGCTGCACCATGTAAAATAAGTTATCATCCTTACACACAGGTAATACTTAAACATTCATTTAATTTCACTGAAATTTATCAGCTTTTGGTCCAAATAATACTTGATTTGGGTCCATATCTGGTCCATGGCCTGTGTTGGATAATTTAATTATTCTATCATAACTCATTAATCAAATAGCCACAAAGAGGACAACAAGAATATCTTTTCAACCCAGGTTTAATCTTGCAAGGGGTGCAGCGTTAAAAAACAAGCATACAAGATGTTACGTGTCGCTCCATCTCCAAGGTCTGCCCACAGAGTTTTAACAAAAACTTAAATACCCATTATCAGACAGAGGTGAGGTCAAGACAACTCTGCTTTCCAGCTTAGGGCCTTGAAGTTTATCAGGCTCTGTGCTCCTGCACGCTCCACATTGTTCAGACAAAACAACTCTAACTCACACACACGGTTCTATATTAATTTAACATTAGTAAGAGAAAAGCATCCATGACCTTTACATCCCCCATCAGCCTGCCTCTTCGAGACCCCTTGTCTAGTTATTTTTTAATCGATTGTCCATCATATAGTTATCAAGGGGCTTAATTTGAGCTGGATCCTGCCGGAACAGGATCCGGGAACTCTCTTATTTTGACAGGGTGCGTTCCGGTAACCGTTTGCTAGGATCCGGTAACTCTCAGGCTTACTAATAATGAAGATATGAACAAATATGACTGCCTTGAATGAATAAAACTTATATTGGAGATGTAATCTGAAAATAATTACATAAACACTCATTTTAAACACAACAGCCACTTACGAGGTTCTTAATATGACGTATGAGCTGCACCTTCAAGTAAACATTTCCTCTTCTACCATTAAAAAAATCTCTGCCCCTAAAAGTCCAAAGTCGTCACGCAATTTTATTACAAACTCAAAAAAATATAATTAAACAGCACAACTGAATTGCAAATCAGTTTGACAGTTAAAGTGGGTCATTAATAAAATTTTGATTTATTACAAACACAAGGAGAGAAATGTTTGATGTGTATTATTCACATTACGTATCAAAACAACGGCGCTAATTTATCAAAATAAAAACGATCAAAATGTAGAAAAGACCGTCCAATTTACTTTCATTAAACAAAAAGGATTCTCATTGTCCTTAGTTGGACAACTGAGAATTTTAGCACCTGGAGCCAGAGGTGATAGAGACTGGAGCCAGAGCGAGCGAGCGGTGGGGGGGTGAGAACCGAGCTTACCAGGCAGTACGTGGGCAGGAGCCCAGACGGAGGAGGCGCCAGGAGGTTTCACCTGTGGAGTCAGACAATGAGCAGGGACAGTGTCGGGCTCGGAACCGTCAAGTGAGGGTGGGGGGTAGGATGCTTGACAGAATTAGAGTGTTTACAAATGTAGGTAAACGTAGAAGTTTAACAACCCATTAAAATACAGCAAAATGCAGAAAACCACATCTACTTTATTTAAAATGTTCTGGGGGAGGACCCCCACCTGCCCCAAATCAATTTAAAAAAATCAATTTCCAAACTATTCAAATCAGTTTATTTATGTAGCACCAAGTCATAAGAGAAGTCATCTCAGGGCACTGAACAGAAACATTCATATACATAAAACAATAATTTAACACTATATATCTGAGGAGCAGACTGCTTTGAATTTAACGTCATCACAGAACTCTCATCTTGAGCAAGCATGAAGGCGACAGTGGGAAGGAAAAACTCCCTCATGAGGAAGAAACCTTTAGCAGAACCAGGCTCACAACCGACCGGCTGGGTTTGAGAAGAACAGATACACAATGGCAGGTCAAGAATCACATGTTAAGATAGAAATAATATCAAATGAAAACTATTCAATTTTATCAAATTAAGGAAATTAGGTCAATTTGTCCTCTAGTAGTCTAAGCTTAAGACAGCATGACAAGCTGACCCTAACTCCAGTTAAGACTCTGGCAGCAGCATTTTGGATCAACTGAAGACTATTTAAAGAAGTATTTGGACACCCAGATAATAAACCATTACAATAGTCCAGTCTAGACGTGACAAATGCCTGAACCAGTTTTTCTGCATCATTTTTAGATAAGATGTTTCTAATTTTAGTGATATTACGCAGGTGGAAGAAGGCAGATCTAATAACGTTTTTAATGTGGGGGATAAAAGACATGACCTGATCAAAAATAACACCAAGATGTTTAACATTAAAGCTGGAGGACAGATTAATGCCATCAAATGGCGAAATACTGAAAAAAAATTCCTAAAATGCTCAGGTCCAAAAACTAAAACCTTAGTCTTGTCTGTGTTCAAAAGCAGAAAATGTAGGGTCATCCAGGTTTTTATGTCTTTAAGACATGCTTGTAGTCTAAGTAGCTGATTGGATTCATTGGGTTTAATGGACAAATATCAATCAACCTTTATTTAGACAGGTAAATCCCATTGAGCCTCGAGGACTCATTTACAAGAGAGACCTGATTTCAACAAAGAAAGATGACAACAATGGACAACAGCAACAACAATAAGCAGTTATAAAAACTCATACTACAGTTTTTTTTTTTTTTTTTTTTTTTTTAACAAATAGGATGGCTAAAAGGAAAAGGTAACAAAACAAAAAAACAGCTAGATTCCAAGACAAATGTAGAAAACTAACAACAGGAACATGTCAGCATTGGACCCTGCCAGGAGTCCAACAGATTCTTAAAGCCACTTAGAGAGGTCAAGGTCAAGAGCTTCAAATCTTTTTGTAAGATATTCCAGGAAACAGGAGCGGAGTAGGAGAAGGCCCTCTTGCCAAGTTCAGTCCTCACTGAGGGAACACTGCAGGTAATAATGTCCTGAGAGCGCACTCCGTAGCTGCACTCACGCAGAGACATGTAGGAGGAGATGTATGAAGGCAGCAGACCAAGAAGTGATTTAAAGATGAAAATGTACCAGTGAGAGAGTCTGCGTGAAGTTAATGATGTCCAGTTAACCAGTGAATACAGGGTGCAGTGGTGGGTACGATAATCACAGCCAGTTATGAATCTTAGTGCACCATGATAGACAGCATCCAACATCTGCAGGGTTCTTGTAGGAGCGTTCATGTAAATAATATCACCAAAATCAATTGAGGGAAGGAAAGTCACAGATACAAGGCGTTTTCTAGCATTCAGGGTTAGACAGGATCTGTTTCTGAAAAAGAAACCCCGTTTAACTTTCAGTTTCTTTATCAAGTTTTCCACATGGAGCTTAAAAGAAAGATGTGAGTCGACCAAGATACCCAAATATTTATAGGAATCAACAAACTCAATGGGGACACCATTTGAGGATAAAATCGGAGGAAGAACTGCTGGGACCAACTTCCTATTTGAAAAAAGCATCCCTTTGGTTTTTTTGGCATTTAGGACAAGTTTGAGGCGAAACAAATCAGTCTGGATGTAGTTAAATGCAGATTTCAAAAGCTGGAAAGCCTTAGCAACTGTTTTAGCTCGACAATAAACAACTGTGTCGTCAGCATAGAAATGTATGGATGCATTAGGGATGTTTTTACCTACATTATGTATGTAGATTGTAAAGAGGGTGGGTCCTAAGACTGAGCCTTGTGGTACACCATTGTTGAATGTTAAATAACTGGAGGAAGTACCATTATGTTGAACACATTGCCTCTGGTCTGAAAGATAGTTAGAGAACCAATCAATGGTGTGATCTGAGAAACCAATTTCTGAGAGTTTATGACACAAGATGTTCTGATCCACAGTGTCAAAAGCTTTAGACAGGTCTAAGAAAAGTGCAGCACAATAATCCTTAGCATCCAGTGCTTCAACAACGTCATTAAGAACCTTCAGTGAAGCAGTGGTTGTGCTGTGTTGTTTCCTGAAACCAGATTGATGTGGAGGTAAGG